TTGGAGAGTAAAGTAAACATAGAAATAAAGGTTAATTTGAAACCACCATTTTCATTCAAATGCTCTTGTTTTCAGTGACACCGACTCCAAGCTTTTTCCATTGCTCTTCACACACCATATTCCATTAAACTGGCAAGTTTAGCTGATAAAAAGGTCAAAGCAAGTTTACATAGTATTTTGATAAGTTGGGCAAGAAAAAGGATTAAGAGTTCTATTTGTTCTATACATGGGTGGGCAATTGAATCGATGAACCGAAGCAAACCGGGCTGAAAAAAAATCAAAAATTTTGGTTTTGGCTTGAATGGATTTTTCCTGTATTTTTTTTTACTTGGTTTCGTTCAGTTCGCCTATTTACCCGGTACAAATGCGATGAATGGAACTAAAACTTAAAAGACAAAAAGACAGGAGATTCAGGAAGAAGTTTAGGGTTTAGGGTTTGAATGGAACTCCCAAGTACTGTTGGGAGTTCCGAAAGAAGCAAATGGCAATGGTTTGAGGTACTTATATAACTAGAAAAAAATAAGATTTTTATTTTATTTTTCAACTAGTTATCTTAAGTTTCATACTTGTACTTTTTTATATTTTTTATGTTTAGAATTGTCTTGGGGCACTTGATGGAACTCACATATAAGATTCTTATTTGACTTTGATTATTTGTTTGGTAGTCTCATGATGATGCTAGAGGTTTTCGATTTAAAGTTATAGAAAATTGGGATGATATAGTAGATTTGTGTGGCAAAGATAGAGCCACTGGAGAGGGCGCTGAAACAGGTGCAGATGAAACTGAGGTTATGACTCCTACTAATGAAGTTGATCATGTTGATTTGGATGGTGATACACAAGATTTTGAAGATATTCATGTTATTGATGATATTTCACCAACCTCAACAAATGGTCAAAAGAGAAGAAATCGTGCATCAAATTCTTCTGATATTCTTCCTACAAAGAAAAGAGGTGCTGTCAAATATGTTATTGCTGGTTTGATTGCTAGAATGGCTTTATCATTTGAAGTGTTTATCTGTGCTGATACTAAGAACCTTGATCCAACAGAGGAATATGCTGAAGTACAAGTAGTACCGGGTCTTAGTGAAAATGAACAACTCAAAGCATGTGCTTGGCTGATAGAAAATGACAAACAATTTTAGATGCTGAAGGCACTCCCAATTGAGAAAAAAAAGAGTGTTGTTGATGTTTATTGCACGTGGGGAATGATTTGGTTTGCTAGTATGCTATGTTTGTTTAAGTTGAGTTATTTAGTTCATCAAACGATATGTTATTTTATATTTCGAGGAATACCTTCTATGTCGGTTATCAGTTTTTTTGTTCTTTCGAAATATTTAATTTCTGTCATTTATAATTTACATGAGTTATCCAAACATTGAAAATTTCAATTTCTGTCATTTACAAAATCCGACATACATAAATCCAAACATTGAAATCTTCAATTACCAGAAATTGAAATAACGGAAATCTAAATTCTGTCATTTTAGAAGTCTATGTAATTGGCAATTCCTTCATCCAAACGGATACGGTGCTTATTAATTTTCGGTCGAGTAATTAAACAGGACAACTTGGACACATTAGTTGGAATAAGAGCAACAGACCTGATGTACGCGAGGGGCGAGGTTTAAGGCAGGGAGCACACCCAACCCAGATGAAATAGAGAGAGACATAGAGGGGCGGAGAGATTTCAGGGGCTAGAGGAGATAAGGGTTGCTGTTGTGGCCATGTCCGATAGGAAGGGAGGGGGAGGATCGCGTTCGCCGGACATGGGTGATTGGGAGGGGCATTGGGCGATGGGAAGGTAGATGGAGGATCGAGATGGAGTAATTAGAAAATCACTAATAAACAGAAACTCTTTTTCTTTTTTTTGAAGAAAGGTGATTTAGAAGTTAGCATAACCCAAATAAGAAAAGTACAATATACTAGCCACTATTTGAGCTTGGTTGCCTTGTCGGAGATTTATGCCATAACCCAAATAAGAAAAGTATATACTACTAGCCACTGTTTGGGCTTGGTTGCGTGCGTTGTCGGAGATTTATGCCCTACACGTTGAAGAAAAGAACCATTAGTGCAACACGGAAAGAACCATTGATTTTAAAAAATTGGTTCTCAGTGTTTTAGTTTTATATTTAATTATTTTATGTTATTTCATTTTTATAAATATTTGGATTGAATTTCCAAGTTGATTTAAAAGTTTGCATAACCCAAACAAGAAAAGTATAATATACTAGCCACTCTTTTGCCTTGGAGTTTGCCTTGAAGACTTACTCAGCATATAAACTGGGCAGAAGAAAGGGAACACCACAACACAAACAATCATCCTGCGATCAGTTCTTGTTCATAAACACTGCTGCCAACCATTTTCTAAAGCTCAAAATAATGGCTGATGCACTCATTTCCGTGCTGCTAGAACGGTTGGCCTCGACAACCTATGAGTACATAGAAGAAGGGGTGAAACTTGTTTTGAACGTTAAGGAAGATGTTAAGAAATTCACTCGGATTCTCCGAGTTATTCAAGCTGTGCTTGAGGATGCAGAGCAACGCCAAGTGACAGATCAAGCTGTCCAAATCTGGTTGGATGAGCTGAAAGATATATCCTATCAGATGGGTGACGCCCTGGATGAGTGGAACACAGACATTCTCAAACAACAAGTTGAGAAACAAGAAAGAGAAGGTGATCCAAATGCTCTTGTTACAAAGAAGAAGGTACGTTTCTCTAGTTTCACCCGTTGCTTTTGTTTTGGCAAAGTCAGTCGGGTGATTCTTCGCCTTGACATTGCTCTGAAAATAAAAGATCTGAATGATAAGTTAACTGAGATTTATGAGGAAAGAAAAAAGTACCAGTTTCTACGCAAAGAATTAGGCATTCAACAACCTCAACAACCTCAACGACCTCAAACTGCATCTTTTGTCAATATGTCTGAGACATTTGGTCGTGAAAAGGAACAGGATATTTTGATAACAAAGTTGTTGGGTGATGGTAGTGAAGAAAAAAAGGGGCTCCTTATCATCCCTATTGTAGGGATGGGAGGCATGGGTAAGACCACTTTGACCCAACTAGCCTATAATGATGACAATGTTAAAGCCCATTTTGAGATCAGAAAATGGGTTTGTGTTTCAGACCCTTTTGATGAGATTAAGATTGCCAAAGCCATTAGTGGCGATTACGCCCCAAGTTCAAATGAATTGGATGAGGTCTTGCAATGTATGTCTAGATCCATCCAGGGCAAAAAGTTTCTCCTTGTCTTGGATGATGTATGGACCGATGATCCTAAAAAGTGGGAACAATTAAAGGTACCATTAATCCAAAGTGGTGCTAAAGGCAGCAGAATATTGGTCACCACAAGAAAACTAGAGGTTGCTAATATGATGAGAACAACACCAAACATGATCAATCTGGAAGGGTTGAGTGATGAATATTGTTTGGCAATCTTCAATCATATGGCCTTTCCTGATGGGGATGTAGATGAGTCTAAGGCATTTGGAGATATTAGTAAGAAATTTGTAAGGAAGTGTAAGGGTTTGCCTCTTGCTGCAAAGACTTTAGGTAGTCTCATGCAGAATAAGAGAACAATGAGAGAATGGAAAGAGGTATTGAATAGTAAGATATGGGATCTAGGGAAGGTCGAGCAAGAAGTTTTCCAACCCTTATTCCTAAGTTATTATGATTTGTCCCCAACAATTAAATGTTGCCTTTTATATTGTGCTATTTTTCCAAAAGATTACAAGTTTGAACGAGATGGTTTGATTAAACTTTGGATGGCACAAGACTATGTTATTTCGAAACGGAATAAAGAAAAGGGAACAACGGGTGATGCAGTTTTTGACAACTTAGTGGCACGGTCTTTTTTCCAAGATTTTGAGAAAGATTATGACACTAGTACAATTACAAGTTGCAAAATGCATGATATTGTGCATGACTTTGTACAATTTCTCACCAGGAATGAGTGTTTGATTATCGATTATGGTGAGGAAACTACCAACGAATCAAAGGTATTGGGTGATAAGGTTCGTTATTTGACCTTGAGATATGTTCCTGAAGGTCCACTTGTTATCTCATCCTACAATTGCAAAAAGCTTCGCACGCTCGCAACTTTTGATTCAAGAATTACTACCATAGACCCAAATTTAATTTTACAATTGAAATGTCTTAGGACATTAAATTTGAGTCGTAATTCCATCGAAGAACTCCCAGAGGAGATTGGTGAATTGATACATTTGAGGTATATTGATTTGTCTTTGAATTATGATTTGGAGAAATTACCGGACACTATTTGTGGTTTGTACAATTTGTCTACCTTGAGCCTTTTTTGGTGCTCTCAACTTAAAAAACTGCCTGAAAACATGGGAAACTTGATTAACTTAAAGCATCTTTATGTTGACAACTGTTTCAATCTGGAGTCGCTGCCCAGAGGGATAGGGAGATTAACAAGTTTACAAACACTAGATGTGTGTCGGTGTGGTGGCGACAACGATGAAGCATTCCAAATTGGGGATTTGAGAAAGTTGAACCTTGAGGGAAGTCTAGAAATACAACTTGGGGGGGATGTGACAGAGAAGAGCGAGGTTGAGAAAGCACAGTTGTGGGATATAAAGCTATTTCATCTCATCGTTGATTTTGAAAGGCAGCCGAACAGTAGTAGTAGTGTAGAAATACTGAATGCCTTACGACCGCACCCAGATTTGGAATTTTTAGGGATTTTGGGTCATAATGGCACCACGTGGCCCAATTGGATTCAGTCTTTACACAATTTGAGATCCCTTACTCTTGGTAAAGGGACACAGTGTGAACTTTGGCCTTTTGGGAAATTGGAGCACCTTGAAAGACTGGCCCTATGGAATATGCAAGGAGTGAGAAATGTCGGTGTTGAATTTTTGGGATTAGAAGATCAAACCTCATTCAGAATCAGATCACCACCCCAGATATTATTCCCAAAATTGAAACACCTACAGTTTTTCTACATGTGAAGATCAAACCTCATTCAGAATTGGATCACCACCCCTGATATTATTCCCAAAATTGAAACAACTCTATTTTATCTCCTTGTCGAATTGGGAAGAGTGGGAAGGCGTGGAAGAGTGGACGAAAGAGGATTCTGAAATTACAATCATGCCATGCCTTTCTGAGTTAAATATTCTAGAGTGCCCTTTACTAAAAGCAGTGCCAGACTTCGTCTTCAAAACACCACTGCAGACTCTTTGTATCCCTGGATCTGAGAGACTTTTAGAGCGTTACCAAGAAGGCAATGGAGAGTGGGCCAAGATTTCTGCTACGAACCCAAACATCCGCATTGTCAGGTAATTGAGCTCTAGCAATCTCTTAATTATTTACATACTTATGTATGAATTCCAACTATGATCTTATTTGTTTCCTTGAAAATCTTCAGATGATGGTGACTCGCTAGACAGATGTTTTATATGAAAATCTTGAGATGGTGACTCGCTAGGTATTTTTCTTCCTACTAAAACTATAAGTAATTGTTCGCATATATGATATCATAATTTTTCTATGAAGAGGATTTTTCAAATGATTATGAAAGGTGTAAATTTCTGGAGTTAATTTTCAATTAGCTAGCTAGTATTAATAAATTAATTTACTTGTTATGCCACACGAGGTTTGTTGTTTTGTTTAATCTGCGTACTTTAGTTGTTTCTCAAAAATTTAATTCCGGAATTGAGAAATGATTGCAAGAAGCAAATTAATTGATCAACTATGTATGTGTCATCATTTCAGGGACTCTATTGCGGAAGTTCCAATAACTGAAATTTTTATTATTTTCATCAAAAGTCAGACTTGAGAACTTGACAGAGACATGATGAATTTCGAAGGTCTACTCAGCTTGATTTACAAACATTGATGATTGCCCTGATTTTTTTGTCATTAATTCGTAAAATGTACTCTTGAGGAACTGGTGAATTTGGGCTTGCAATTTACCTTGGCTTTCCCTTATTTTATTGTCTATCAGTTCCCAGTTTTTGCTGTTCCTCTAGAAGGTGTGATTTGTTTGCCTTCAGTAACTTTGATTTGGTGTGTGCTCTTAAGCTAGAAAAGTCGTTAATATCGGTAATCTTGCCTTCAACAACTAATTCATAGAATAAGAGGTAACTTGTTTTGAACGTGAAGAAAGAAGTTGAACAATTCGTTGGCAATCTCAAAGCTATTCAAGCTGCGCGCGCTTGAGGATGCAGAGCAAATGCAAGCAACGACGGCCAGTGTATACAACTTACTGCAACTTGTAACACTATACTTGAAATTAAGTTAATGGACCTTCGAAATCAAATGGACATAACTAAGTTTGAAATGTTTAGGCCCGTTTGATAACCATTTCAATTTTCAATTTTCAGTTTTCATTTGTTAATGAGATATGAGGTTGCATTGGAATTTGACAGAGATCATTAACATCCTAAAAATAATACTACTATGTTGTGCTATATCCGTTACACCCAACACATTGTGCAGATACGCATAGTTGGTGAGACGTAAAATGAGGGAAAAAAAAAACACACACACACAAACTTGAGAAGTTGTCACTTGCTACTTTCTAATGGTATCCCTGATTAAAAGGTGTACTTTTTTCCTTTTAATTATTTTACAACAATTTTCTGTATTCTCTCTTCCTATTTCTGTACATTTTTGTGCAAAGGTTATGGCAAAGAAGTGGTCTGTATAAGGCAGCCTACATTATACGAGCATGAATCGGTTGTAGTGGCTATGCTGGGTCTAAAACCTAGCATGACACACTATAGAAAGCATGAATATGCCGATTTAAATGCATCGGGTCGGTCCAAGCGAAAATCAAAATCATCCCTAATCTTCAAGAAATAGCACCCTTGCCGGATACATAATTTGTTGCTAACTAACAGATTCAATTAAACAGAAACACTAGAGACAATTTGCGGGCAGTTTATTTGTTATCAAAGAAGTCTTGGAAATCAAAGATAGAAGATTTTGTTGTCATGAGTCTTGACAATATATTAAGTCACATTATAACACAAAACAAAGCTTTTTTTAATTTTTTTAATTTTTTAATTACTAAGAAAAACAAAGCTTAATTGAAATGCATTCTTAGAAGTTTCTCCACCACAAGTGATGTTGTCATAGTCAACTATTGTTTTCCCAAGGTACCAGAATTATTCAGATTATATGACCAAAAGCAGAAGAAAAGCTGCTAAAAGCATGCTTGTTTGCTTGGTGGTCAACAATTCATGATCAGCAAAAGGAAACATAGACAATTCAAAGCAGATATTGCCATATCTTCAAAATTGGTGCAAGTATACAAATATGTGTGGAACACAAAGCCTAAGGGCAATTAACCAATTCCTATTGCCACTAAAATTTGGTTGCAGAATGTACATAAGAGTAAAAATTAAGTCCATTTTGATTTTCACATGTTACACCACTTACAACTGATTTTGAAACTATACAGTGGCTGCTGAATATGTCTGGAACAAGTAAGACAGGATCTTCTTGTAGTCACCAACTTGGGTACCAGTGTTGGGATCAATCAGGTAAGGAACCTATAAGAAGTCAATTTTCTTAGTTTCATCCTTAGGGTTTTCAACAGGAGATCACCACGCACAGAAAGAAAAATAGTCTGAACTTACAAGAGGCTTGGACGGATATTGAAAACGTTTAATAATTAATTTTTTAACTGAATTGTTTGTTCTCTTAAGTAGGGCCTACCACATATACCAAAATTAAAACCAAAAGCATTCACAAGCTGTTAAGAGAATTACTGCATAATTGAGCGAAAAGCGCAACAGAGCTATAAAAATCTCATTCATGACATAACTACCGCAGTAAAAGCTCAAGACCATTGGAAACATAGTAAAACCAGATTGTGCAGACAATAAGTCAGTGCCACATCATATCATGATCATGTGATAAAAGTTCCACTCAAATTCTATTGCAGCAGAACATCATCTAAGGGATAGTTGTTCTCAAAAACTAACCTCTTTGGATCCAGATGCATCTAGTGACTTTGATCGCAGGGAACCTTCTCCCACGTTTTGAAGGATGTAAGGAAGCTCCAACTCACAAAGTGCCTCACGCACAATTCGTGCATACTTGAAAGAAAGAAAAAGAAAAGGGATGGAGAGGAAGAGAAAGATATTAGAAATTATGCAAAATGCCATAAGTCACTGTAAAAATTATGTGCATAGTACTAGCAGCATAGAATACAGAAAATGATTGTTAGATGATCCTGGGATTTGACCTCATCTGTAAATGTACAATGTCACACTCAGAAATTTTTGTACCGACAACTACAATTATATAGATCTTTGATCAATCACATGCCCTAATTTGTCCAAATGAAGGACAGGTCTCAAATTAAAGCAGACTGTGAAGGACCCGGATCCTGTCATTTCCCATCTGTCATTTTCTCCCCTCTCCCTCAAATTCCGGCTGTTGAGCACAGTAAAACAGAATGAAATGGCCATTATTCTATCCTTTGTCTGGAACATGCCTTTCATGCTATTGCGTACAAACCCCTTAGTCAAGGAAATAATGATGAAAGGACAACAATAAAACAGTAACCCTAGATTGTAACAAGAAACGGCCAAAGCTACACAAATATATGTGTGCTTCAACAAAATCATTCGTACTTCAAGGGAGAGTACCCAATTTCACTATGAGAGAAACCAAATTCATACAAATAATCTACACTCAACAATTGATTCCTAATCAACAACATATCTACCTGGATACCCTTGTACATCCTCCCCTTCCCATCTCTTCACACAATTGTAATGCTCTAGAGCCATCCCCATGATGAGAAAAAGCTACAATCATTGAAGTCCTTGAAATTGGGTTCCTTTCAGGCATCCAAATGAAGACTTTGACCGAATCCACCAACTCCAGCACACTTAAGAGTACATTTTAAGAGTACATACATGTAAGCCCATTGGTGAGGAAAGAATGATAACAAAAAAACTGTGACAATTAAACAGCGGACTTGCTTCCCTAGACGTATAGAATTATCTACACTGAATGCCTCAAGAACTGCTGGAACCATGTTTCGGTAGTTTCAATCCCTGTCTTCTTGACCCTCAGGAAGGTTGGGGGTACCATTTTCTATAAGATAGACTAAATGGGATATTGCCTCCAGGACTATCTTCGAAAAATTTACATAGCTTCTTTCTCTCAAACCGATTTGTTGCAAATCCCACAAGGACAACAGTCATGGAAACCTCATTGATTCTTCCATGAACTTAAAATTTCACCACACATCTTCCAGACTACTACTTTCTGAATACATGTCCATGAGTCCACATCAATAGACAAATCTAATTGAATTCCGGATTTCTTTACAGATCCATCCATTTGGCACCCTACTCTACTTTTTGAATGTGCGCCAAAGCGTCCACTACACCAATCTAATTGAATTCCCAATTCTAAATACATCCATCGACGTCCTACACTTACTGTCTGCAAACTAAAAATAATTTCAAAGAAACCAGTAAAGCATATGGAGGAAAAAGGAGGATCCAAGGCCAAATTATGGAAGCCTATATCGGTGTTCCCCTTGTAGGCAAACATAGACTGATCAGAAACAAACTACGATTCTCAATCTGTTATATATCCTACAAATATGAAAACATTTGGTGATGCATAAATCATGATACAATGGATACTCAATGAAAGAACGTTATCTCACTGGATTATTTTCATATGAGTAAAGTTCCAGTTTTTTGGGTGGTGGGTCTCGCTTCGCCTTTTCCCACAATGTCATTCCTCTGCCTGCTCGAAAAATTGTTGGCATCCATCCTGTGAATAATGTGCTACAGGGAGCAACATTTAATATGAGCAAGAGAGACAGAGAAAAGAAGGGAAGAGCCAGGTTAAACCACTTGTAATCGATACACACTTGATATTTCAAGTCACCCATTTAAAACATAATTTCTGTCATCTGTTTCCTACGGGCTTGATGCATATTAGAGTTAAGACCCATGTTGACTTCTTAAGTTGTTATTTTACTTAGGTTGATTTATTTACAATAATTATTAAACGGGATCATTATAGAGTCAAAGCAACATATCAGCAAAACTGATTCTTCATTAAGGCTAATAATTTATGTGATATTGGACAGAAAATATAGTTTTACTTGTGATTTATACTCGTACAGAAAACTTAACATTCTTGTCCTATGAGAAGAACTTGAGGATCAATACCTTTCCAAAAGCCCCACTGTAGGTTTTCTACCTTTACCGTATTGTTCAAACAGGTATTTCACAATTTCACCTATCAACAAAGGTAGAAAGAATGCAAATAAGACAACTCTGATAAAATCATTTCCAACAACCGAGATAAAACATGTATCAGCAATATTTTACAAGTTTAATGTACTACTCTATACAGATTTAGTTAAAACTTAAAATGAGATGCAGAAAAAGCTCTCAATTACAACATTTAGTTACATTTTATTTAGACGTAAGAGCACTTGCTGATATTTCCCAGTCATGAGATTAATTATTGATTCTATGCCATGTCACAAAAGAGAAAAGAAAATTAGCTCAGTGAAAAAAATGATAATACGGAAGTAAAAAGCTTGTCTAGAAACCAAGAATTACAAAGCATGATGACTTTCCTGATATAACCCAATGATTGAATGAACTTTGGCATTCAAGAGGGAAAGCAGTTTGAAGATGTTCTATTTGGCCATCACATAGACCATTCAGATGATTAGACTTAACAACCACAATGTAGAAACTCATTATGAAGGACAGAGTATCACTAAGTTTTGGAAAACATTAGATGATCAAATTATCTGGCAAAATAAACAATGTGGTCTATATACTGTCACAATAAATTGAACAATGTTTTCTTTATTTT